TTACACTTGTCAATGATACAGGTCTATAATTGAGGGGGTCTTCCCTGCTGCCACTTTTGTAGATTGGAACTATGTTAGCCTGTTTCCACACGTCTGCTACGATTCCTGTACACAGGGATGCCTGAAAGATCAGGTGAAGTGGAATGCTGAGCTCAGATGCACATTCTCTCAGAACCCATGGTGAAACGCCATCTGGGCCAGCTGCTTTGTTCCTCCCAAGCTCCTTTAGCATATTTTCCACTTCATCTCTAGACACCTCTATCCGCTCTATGTTGTTCTCTGGAATTCTTATTGTGTCTGGTTCTCTGAAGATTTCATTTTGTACAAACACACTTTGGAACTTTTCATTTAATGTTTCACACATTTCCTTTTCATTTTCCGTGAATCTGTTTCCCATTTCCAACCTCTGGATATTATCCTTTACCTGCAATTTGTTGTTTATGAATTTGTAGAATAGGCCCGGTTCTGTTTTACATTTATCTGCTATCCCTTTTTCAAAATTTCTTTCTGCCTCTCTCCTTACTGCTGTATAATTGTTTCTCGCATCTTTGTATCGCTGGTATGTTTGGGGGTTTGGCCTCTTCCTATACTGATTCCATTTTTGTGTCTTTTGGTCTCTTGCCCTCTCACAATTTCTGTCGAACCAATCCTGTTTTCTGGTCCTGCATCTCTGTTTTGGTAATTACCTAAGTGTAATTACCTAAGTGTAGTTACAGGATGAGAGCTACGCTCGTGGTGTCCCGTCTTCCCAGCACTCTTTGTCATATAACGCTTTGAAACTACTGACGGTCTTGGCCTCCACCACCTTCTCACTTAACTTATTCCAACCGTCTACCACTCTATTTGCGAAGGTGAATTTTCTTATATTTCTTCGGCATCTGTGTTTAGCTAGTTTAAATCTATGGCCTCTTGTTCTTGAAGTTCCAGGTCTCAGGAAGTCTTCCCTGTCGATTTTATCAATTCCTGTTACTATTTTGTACGTAGTGATCATATCACCTCTTTTTCTTCTGTCTTCTAGTTTTGGCATATTTAATGCTTCTAACCTCTCCTCGTAGCTCTTGCCCTTCAGTTCTGGGAGCCACTTAGTAGCATGTCTTTGCACCTTTTCCAGTTTGTTGATGTGCTTCTTAAGATATGGGCACCACACAACAGCTGCATATTCTAGCTTTGGCCTAACAAAAGTCATGAACAACTTCTTTAGTATATCGCCATCCATGTATTTAAATGCAATTCTGAAGTTAGAAAGCATTGCATAGGCTCCTTGCACAATATTCTTAATGTGGTCCTCAGGTGATAGTTTTCTATCTAGAACCACTCCTAGATCTCTTTCTTTATCAGAATTCTTTAAAGATTTCTCACATAATATATAGGTTGTGTGGGGTCTATGTTCTCCTATTCCACATTCCATAACATGACATTTATTAACATTAAATTCCATTTGCCAAGTGGTGCTCCATATACTTATTTTGTCCAGGTCTTCTTGAAGGGCATGACAATCATCTAAATTTCTTATCCTTCCTATTATCTTAGCATCATCAGCAAACATGTTCATATAATTCTGTATACCAACTGGTAGATCATTTATGTACACAATAAACATCACTGGTGCAAGAACTGAACCCTGTGGTACTCCACTTGTGACATTTCTCCATTCCGATACATTGCCTCTGATTACTGCCCTCATTTTTCTATCAGTCAGAAAATTTTTCATCCATGATAGAAGCTTACCTGTCACCCCTCCAATATTTTCCAGTTTCCAGAACAACCTCTTATGTGGAACTCTGTCGAAAGCCTTTTTTAGGTCCAGATAGATGCAGTCAACCCAGCCATCTCTTTCCTGTAATATCTCTGTGGCCCGATCATAGAAACTGAGTAAATTCGATACACAGGATCTTCCTGATCGAAAACCATACTGTCTGTCTGATATTATATCATTTCTCTCCAGGTGTTCTACCCATTTAGTTTTGATTAGCTTTTCCAATACTTTCACTATTACACTTGTCAATGATACAGGTCTATAATTGCTATGGTATGAATGTTTGTGTGCCTTCCTCGTATAGTTTTAAAAATTTGGCATACATTTCATTTACTTCCCTGCCTAGCAACAATTCTGTCCAATTACACTCGTTAAAAAAATTTCGAAGTTCCCCATAGTTGCCTCTCTTTAAATCGAGTTTATCAACTGTTTCAATGTCCCCATTTTCTTCTAGATGATATCTTAAAGCATATTTAATGTCTAACAGGACGTGATCACTCTTTTCCAAGGGAGGAAGGTACTGGATGTCAAAAATCTCTTCTTCTTTCCTGGTGAATACTAGATCCAGTACTGACGGTATATCTCCTTCCCTCATTCTTGTGGCTTGCTTTATGTGTTGATACAAGAATGTCTCCAGAATGAGGTTCACAAATCTGCATGTCCAAAAGTCCTCCGTTCTTGCTTCATAGGCCTCCCAGTCTATTGCTCTAAAGTTGAAGTCCCCCAGTATCAACAGTCGTGATTTATCTTTATCTGCTTGTACAATAATATCTCTCATGACCATTATGAGGCCCTCTCGTTTGTCATCCAGTTCTTCCTTTGTCCACGTGTTGCTTGCTGGTGGGCTGTAGGTATTTACAATTATCAGGTTATCATCCTGATTCCAGACCTGCAATGCCATTATGTCAATATCTCGAGGGTTTTCAAATATTAACTCTTTTACCTTCAGGTGTTTTTTCACCAGTACAGCCACTCCTCCTCCCTTCCTAGTTTTCCTGTCACGTCTCCGTGTGTGTGTGTGTGTGTGTAATTACCTAAGTGTAATTACCTAAGTGTAGTTACAGGATGAGAGCTACGCTCGTGGTGTCCCGTCTTCCCAGCACTCTTTGTCATATAACGCTTTGAAACTACTGACGGTCTTGGCCTCCACCACCTTCTCCCCTAACTTGTTCCAACCATCTACCACTCTGTTAGCAAAAGTGAATTTTCTTATATTTCTTCGGCATCTGTGTTTAGCTAGTTTATATCTATGACCTCTTGTTCTTAACGTTCCAGGTCTCAAGAAATCTTCCCTATCGATTTTATCAATTCCTGTTACTATTTTGTATGTAGTGATCATATCACCTCTTTTTCTTTTGTCTTCTAGTTTTGGCATATTTAATGCCTCTAACCTCTCCTCGTAGCTCTTGCCCTTCAGTTCTGGGAGCCACTTAGTAGCATGTCTTTGCACCTTTTTCAATTTGTTGATGTGCTTCTTAAGATATGGGCACCGACAACTGCTGCATATTCTAGCTTTGGCCTAACAAAAGTCGTGAACAATTTCTTTAGTATATCGCCATCCATGTATTTAAAAGCAATTCTGAAGTTAGAAAGCGTGGCATAGGCTCCTTGCACAATATTCTTTATGTGGTCCTCAGGTGATAGTTTTCTATCTAGAACCACCCCTAGATCTCTTTCTTTATCAGAATTCTTTAAAGATTTCTCACATAATATATAGGTTATATATAGGTGTGTGTGTGTGTATGTTTTATCAAACACCAAATGAAAACGAACCTTTTTGAGATTTGTTCTCCAAATTTTTTCATTTCATTTTATTCTACAAAATAAAGTCAATGCTTTGCAACATCACAGCAGTCACCCCTTTACATCCCAGCATCATTAGCATCTTTAAACAAAACAAAAAATTTATTTGCATCGTCGGAGGCATCCAAGAATGTGCAAGAACCAGTGGGAACACACCATGTGGTTTTCTCATTATTCAAACGAGCGCTCACCAATCAAGACAAATTGGCGGCGATCGGCGTGCTCGTTATTCAAAATGCTCGTAAATTGAGGCGCTCGTCACTTGAGGTTCCACTGTACAGTATACTGTATATGATTTGCATATTTAAAATATTGAAAATAGTCCTGCACATACATAGAGCTCACATTTGCTTCCTCAGACCACCAGTAACTATCCCCCATCTTGAAAAAAAATCCTGAGTCCCTCACTTTCCTTCTAGGGCCTTAAAAGGAAAATGATGACCATTGCTTGGCAACATCACCATCCAGTGTCTGAATGTTTAGGGCAGCCATAGAGGAGACACTAAACGTTTAGCAACAGCAAATGAGTGATTACCATGTATATATTTGAGGCAAAATGTGTGCTATATGGAATTTAAATTTTTAGGCTTATAAAATATATATACATATATTATTATGAATAAGTACGTGGGTGTCTGTATATTATACTCATATATACATACATACTTATATTTTCAAAGTTATGCATAATAGACAGTACCTTTGACACACAAATACAACCTGTTAGCATGAAAAAGCTAAATAAATAAAGTGAGAAACAATGAAAATAAATCAATAAAGTTATTCCTATGCAGCACCTCAACTCATTTTACCGATACCCCAGTTGATAGCAGACAAGGAATACCCCCAAATACAAGTGGGTCTCCTTAGGCCATTGCTCCCTGTGCGTCTCTGAGGGGGGGGGGGGAGCCAGGTTCCGGCTCTGGTTACTGGTAGGCAGACCTCCATTGACTGAAGCCCCAGACTAATATAGTGCATATACATAGTTCTATAGCTCCAGGGAGCCAAAGGGGCTCTCCACAGAAAAACTAGTTACAGGGTTGAAGAAAGCAAACGTAAACACTCAACCCACGTACAGTACCTGAAAATGAAGAAAGTGATGAAGTTTAGGTTCATTCTGAACCATATCAAGCCGTGTTCAGTCATCCAACTAGCTAGTATGCTCATTATGAATGCCCCTTTCCTCCTTTATCTCAGAATTATGTAAAGTTGTTTCAACAATGCAATCACAAGAACGAGATGAGTCTGGGAATAAATATTTAGGCCGTTCAGTGGGATTGAACCTGTGTTCCTCAATCCACATACACTACCATAGTGTGGGCCTGAAGAGTTCAGGAACATGGGTTGAATTTTATTGTATGATCTAAATATTTATTCATGTGTAAATTTGTATGAACAACATTGAATTTTTTGAAAGTGCAAGTCATTGTGACTTTTGCAGCGAACCCTCGAGAAAGAAGCTCGTGCAGCATCACGCCTCATCATCTGGACTGATTGTGATCGAGAAGGAGAAAATATTGGCTTTGAAATAATCGACGTATGTAAGGCAGTCAAGTCATCGTTGACAGTAGAAAGGTAGGAAGATTATTTGGGTACCTTATGTTAATTTTAACTGAAGCAATGTGATGAAGGGCTCGTCATAGGTATTGTTTCCTCAATATTTAATTTATTTGACTGTCGTATCAAATAAATTTTTTTATTTGATATGCATTCTTTCATCTGGTATTGCATTCTTCCATCTGGTGTATCCACAGACTTCCCTGAAAGAGCCCTTCTGTGAAGAACTGTGATGGTCACTGTGTTTCTCCAGAGTCTTCCCTAATGACGGCTCTGATATTTTTTCCAAGCCATTTCATTGTTAATGCTTGGAGCATCACCTACAGTAATTACCTAAGTGTAGTTACAAGATGAGAGCTACGCTCGTGGTGTCCCGTCTTCCCAGCACTCTTTGTCATATAATGCTTTGAAATTACTGACGGTTTTGGCCTCCACCACCTTCTCACTTAACTTGTTCCAACCATCTACCACTGTTTACAAAAGTGAATTTTCGTATATTTCTCCGGCAGCTTTGTTTCGTTAGTTTAAATCTATGACCTCTTGTTCTTGAAGTTCCGGGTCTCAGGAATTCTTCCCTATCAATTTTATCGATTCCTGTTACTATTTTGAATGTAGTGATCATATCGCCTCTTTTTCTTCTATCTTCTAGTTTTTGCATATTTAATGCCTCTAACCTCTCCTCGTAGCTCTTGTCCTTCAGTTCTGGGAGCCACTTAGTAGCATGTCGTTGCATCTTTTCCAGTTTGTTGATGTGCTTCTTAAGATACGGGCACCATACAACCACTGCATATTCCAGCTTTGGTCTAATAAAAGTCGTGAACAATTTCTTTAGTATTTCGCCATCCATGTATTTAAAAGCAATTCTGAGGTTAGAAAATGTAGCATAGACTTCTTGCATAATGTTCTTAATGTGGTCCTTGGGTGACAGTTTTCTATCTAGAACCACCCCTAGATCCCTTTCTTTGTCAGAATTATTTAAAGATATCTCACATAATTTATAGATTGTGTGGGGTCTATGTTCTCCAATTCCACATTCCATAACATGGCATTTATTAACATTAAATTCCATTTGCCAAGTATTGCTCCATATACTTATTTTGTCCAGGTCATCTTGAAGGGCATGACAATCATCTAGGTTTCTTATTTTCCCTATTATCTTAGCATCATCAGCAAACATGTTCATGTAATTCTGTATTCCCACTGGTAGATCGTTTATGTAGACAATGAACATTACCAGTACAAGAACTGAACCCTGTGGTACTCCACTCGTGACATTCCTCCAATCCGATACCTTGCTTCTAATTACGGCCCTCGTTTTTCTGTCAGTTAGGAAATTTTTCATCGATGTTAGTAGCTTACCTGTCACCCCTCCAATATGTTCCAGTTTCCAGAAAAACCTCTTATGGGGAACTCTGTCGAAAGCTTTCTTTAGGTCCAGATAGATGCAGTCAACCCAACCATCTCTTTCCTGTAAAATCTTTGTGGCTCGATCATAAAAACTGAGTAAGTTCGTTACACAGGATCTTCCAGATCGAAAACCATACTGTCTGTCTGATATTATATCGTTTTCCTCCAGGTGTTCTACCCATTTAGTTTTAATTATTTTTTCCACTATTTTGACTATTACACTTGTCATTGACAGGTCTATAATTAAGGGGGTCTTCCCTGCTTCCATTTTTGTAGATTGGAACTATGTTAGCCTTTTTCCACACATCAGCTACAACTCCTGTACACAGGGATGCCTGAAAAATCAGTTGAAGTGAAATGCTGAGCTCAGGTGCACATTCTCTCAGAACCCAAGGTGAAACTCCATCTGGACCAACTGCTTTATTCTTACTTAGCTCCTTGAGCATTTTTTCCACTTCGTCTCTAGACACCTCCTTGTGCTCTATGTTGTTCTCTGGAATTCTTATTGTGTCTGGTTCACTAAATATTTCATTTTGTACAAACACACTTTGGAACTTTTCGTTTAGTGTTTCACACATTTCTTTTTCATTTTCCGTGAATCTATTTCCCATTTTCAACCTCTGAATATTATCCTTTACCTGCAATTTGTTGTTTATGAATTTATAGAATAGACCTGGTTCTGTTTTACATTTGTCTGCAATCCCTTTTTCAAAATTTCTTTCTGCCTCTCTCCTCACTGCCGTGTAGTTGTTTCTCGCATCTTTGTATCGTTGGTATGTTTGGGGGTTTGGCCTCTTCCTGTATTGATTCCATTTTTGTGTCTTTTGATCTCTGGCCCTCTCGCAATTTCTACTGAACCAATCCTGTTTCCTAGTTCTGCATATCTGTTTTGGTATAAATTTTTTTGTGCCTTTATCATATATTTCACAAAACTTTACATACATCTCATTCACTTCCTTGCCTAGCAACTAGTCTGTCCAATTATACTCACTAAAAAAAATTCTAAGGTCGCCATAATGTCCTCTCCTGAAGTCAGGTTTTTCAACTGCTTCAACCTCCTTATTTTCTTCGAGATTATAACGCATGGCATACTTTATTCCCAAAAAGACATGGTCACTTTTACCCAAGGGAGGAAGGTACTGAATGTCAAATATCTCTTCCTCCTTCTTGATAAATATGAAATCTAGCATGGAGGAAACGTCTCCTTCCCTCATCCTTGTAGCTTGTTTAACATGTTGATACAAGAACGTTTCCAGGATGAGGTCTACAAATCAACAGGTCCAGAAATCTTCTGTTTTAGCTTCATATGCTTCCCAGTATATGGATTTCAAGTTGAAGTCACCGACTATCAACAGTTTGTTCATTTGATGCATCACGTTAGTGTGATCTCTGTGTGTAATGATGTAAGGGCGAAGAGGGAGAACGGCCTATCGACATAGCTCGGGTGCAAGGGGGGGGTTGTGTAAAATCCTGGTTTGTGCCTCGGAGAGGCTACGGGATCCAGTAAGTTTAGTAGAACTTCGGTTTCAACCCTTTTACCCTGTCGTAGCTCAGTCGATTAAGGCAGTGTCTGGGATGCTCCCGAATGCAGGTTCGAATCCTCGTCACGGCCCTTTTGGATTTGTTTATCAACAGTCGTGATGTATCGTTATCCACTCTCGCTATAATCTCTCTCATTACAGTATTGTTATAAGACCTTCTCGTTTACTATCTAGCTCCTCCTTTGACCATGTGCTGCTTGGCGGTGGACTATATGCATTTATGATCATTAGTTTATCATCTTTATGGCAGATCTCTAGTGCTATTATGTCAACTTCTTGTGGATTGGCAGTCATTATTTCCTTCACCTTTAGGTGTTCTTTCACCAGCACAGCAACGCCACCGCCTTTCCTAATTTTTCTGTCCCCTTTCCAAATTGAGTAGCCCCTTGGGAATATGACCTCATTTAAAATAACATCTTCAAGTTTTGTCTCCGTGAGTGCAACAATGTCTGGTGTCTGCAGCTGTATTACATCACTTAACTCCAGTATCTTCGATCTCACTCCATCTACGTTGGTGTATGCAATCTTCAGGAACTTGTTCCCCCTCTCCTTATTCTTCACTCCCCCTCTCTCTATTGATTTTGTTGGTTTGCCTTTATGTACCACTTTACTGGTCTGCCTACCCCTAACACTTTGTAGAAAAAAGAATTGATATCTTCATCATTCCTGCTCTCATTTAAACGTTTTGCCTCGGCGAGGTTCAGTTTCAGCTTCTCTCTGTCTTCTTTTGAAAGATCTCGTCTTAACGACCACACTTTCCAATCCTCATCACTTTGTAATTTTCTAGCATTCCTTAGTACTTCTTCCATCTGTTTGGCACCGTTCAGGGTGATCCTCAAAGGTCGATTTTTCCCTTTTACATATCTGCCTATTCTCCTATAGTCGCACACATTCTCTATGGTAGTAAGACCTTCTACAAGGCCAACAATTTTATCTACTACTTTCGCTTCTTCTACAGCTCTTTCTGACCTAGATGTTATCTCCTTTTCTTTGCAACCAAAAATTATCAGGGACTTACTCCGATCAACTGAGTTTTGCACCAACTTCGGATTAGATGCCAATTCCTTTCTCATTTCCAGCCTAATGTTTGTTTTATCTTGGTTGCTGCAGTGTTTGGCTTCCTTTACTGCTTCTTCTATTTTTTCCTTCTCCTTGGCCACTTGTGCATAAGCGAGTTGCATATCTTTCTTGTACTGTTCTATTCCCTGTGTAACTTCCTTTTACTTTCTCCCTGTTGAATTTCCTTACCTAACCTATTGTAGTCATTTATGTTTAAATTTACTTTAACTTCTTCCAAAGCTATTTTTAAGAGTCTATTTTCATCTTCCATGGCTTTGCAATTTGTTTCCAATTGATTCTTATCCTTGCACAAGTCTTTCACTAAACCCTCAAGACATAAAACTTTACAGTACAGTACTGTACTTGCTCAAACGTTTATCAACTGTCTTTATTCTCTTCATCCTGCTCCTCCACACTCACTGGTCACCATCTTGCTCCTCCACACTCACTGGTCACCATCCTGCTCCTCCACACTCACTGGTCACCATCTTGTTCCTCCACACTCACTGGTCACCATCTTGTTCCTCCACACTCACTGGTCACCATCTTGTTCCTCCACACTCACTGGTCACCATCCTGCTCCTCCACACTCACTGGTCACCATCCTGCTCCTCCACACTCACTGGTCACCATCCTGCTCCTCCACACTCGCTGGTCTCCATCCTGCTCCTCCACACTCACTGGTCACCATCCTGCTCCTCCACACTCACTGGTCACCATCCTGCTCCTCCACACTCACTGGTCACCATCTTGTTCCTCCACACTCACTGGTCACCATCCTGCTCCTCCACACTCACTGGTCACCATCCTGCTCCTCCACACTCACTGGTCACCATCCTGCTCCTCCACACTCACTGGTCACCATCCTGCTCCTCCACACTCACTGGTCACCATCCTGCTCCTCCACACTCACTGGTCACCATCTTGTTCCTCCACACTCACTGGTCTCCATCCTGCTCCTCCACACTCACTGGTCACCATCCTGCTCCTCCACACTCACTGGTCACCATC